AAACCCAAACCTAGTTTTAGTTTTAGGTGATTTTTATTGGTGGCATTACATGTTACACATATTTACTTTCCCCTTTGCCATTATAGGCTCTTGTGTGCCTATAATGGCTGACCAGGGAGGCTTTTTTCTTCTTCTTCTTTTTTTGTGTCTAGATGACGCGGATCCTCTCATAGTTTGCTACTATATCCCTACAAGCCTCTTTTCAGTGTATGCTAAGTGAAGCACTGGTCTATGACCTTACCTTTAGTATCCCCGCTCATGAAGTGATCCCTCAAGGCGAGCGTCCTTCAAGTTAATTTTAGAGTAGCTTCAGGAGCACGTGACTGGGAGGGGACATCTAAGCTGAGGGTGTCAAGGATGTTTCTGAGCTCTCGTCTCTTGTCACGCACCCTAGTTTTACTCCCCCTCCCCGCACTTTTGGAAGGGGGGTGGCGGCAAGAAAGGGCTCAGGGTTGCACTGTCCCCTTCCACCTCGTTGCTTGGTGTCCCCAATAAGAAAACTGGTGGACACCAATCGGGAGGATCAGAGAAGCGAGATCCCACCAAGCACTGCGGCGTGCTTTCTTTTCGTTGCTCCACTGGAATAAGGTGGGAACAGTCCTCACAGTGCATAGATGGGAATAAATGCATGCTATAAATATGCATTTGATATTACCAGCGCTGCTAAAATTTTACTGTAAGCTGTATGTTTGCACTCTTAAAAAATTGTTATCTTTCTTTCCAGTAGAAATAATTGCGTATGTGTTTGTTCCTCTGTAAGGTTACAGAATAGTTCTGGAAAAGCCTTTTGTATGTAATTGATTAAAAAAAATATAAAGAGCAGCTTAAACATGGGCTGGTATTACAGTCTGTGGTGCTAAAGTGGGAAGGGTGCTTTTTTTGTACTTTTGAAACTTATTCTTAAATAAAAACTAGCTACTTAACTCTGTTCAGCTTTCATTAAATTTTAGAGACTGGCTAGGCTGGACCTTTCCCCACTCAAAAGCACCTTGTATTTACTGTCATTGTATTTACTGAGACTGAATTTGGCTGCACCTCGTTTGAAGCAGTGTGTTGGTTTCAGAGTGCAGTACACAAGAGAGGGTCCGGATCTCCCTGCTCTCCCCCGTACGCTGAGGAGCAGGCAGGGGCGGCATTTAGAGGACTGAGGGTATCGGCCTGCAGCGTGTGGGGCTGGGGGAGGGTGGTTACAGTCTTCCATCTTGGCATGGTCCAGAAACTCGGTTTGGTGTTTTACCAGTTTACTGTACTTGATAAAATCAAAGAATTTATGCTTAACTTTTTATGCAAGAATCTTAGGTTCAGTAGTATCAATCTGCTTACTTTTGTGTTCTTACTCATCTCTTCATTTTGAAGAAACCCAGTTCATGTTCAGGAAAAAAGCAGTGTTTTACTGTAATATATGTAGGATACCAAAATACAGGCAAAAAGACACTACCTTTTTTAATTACTGTGAAAGCTAAAGCTTTATTTTGTTATCTGTCACGTCATGATAACATGCTGTGGTTTTAGCCTTCAGTAAGACCATGAGTTAAGACTTCTTAGCCAAAACCCCCACAAATGTAGGCAAGAGTAACCAGTGGCAAGAGGCAATCTATTAGAAGTGTAAACACTTTTAAAATAGTATCCTTTAGCTTTGTGTCTGTAAACTTCAATAAGGATGGGTAGTGACCTGGAATGTTTAATGTCACTGCAACATGCAAAGAGCAAGGTTAAATTCAGAACTATGTATTTTAACTAGCTGTTTCTTCTTCCCTGTTTTTTCCCTCCTGGATTGGATAGTCCACAGAAGGCCTCTCTTGTTCCTGTTATAGTTCCATGTTATTAGTCAAGGAGAATCTGATATGCTCCTCATGGTAATCAGTACAGTTCCTCAACTGCTTCTAAGGGCTGCTGAGAAAAACATACCAAAGTTTCTCTCCGACTAGGTTATAGGTCTTACGTTGGCAGTGTTCACAAAGCCGATCGTTGGGTGAGAGCTCACCAAGGGTGAGGATAAATCCTAACATGCTGATGTGGCAGTGATGCTGTAATACTGTAAGTAGTGGTTTTTCACCTCGTCTATCTCATTTTTAGCAGATATACAGAAGGGACTAAATAAAGGCTTACACAGTGAGCACGATGCTTTTGTTCTAGCCCATGTATTTATCAACCTTACCAAATCAAGCAGCCCATTCATTGTTTGCCAGTCTGGAAACTCGTTTTCCACGTGGCCCATGACTAGTGGCAGAAAGGTGAGTTGAGCTTCCACCAGGAACTCCAAGTAGTTCTGCCTCTTCATTAGCTTGCCTTATTCTCTAGTCTATGAACCATGTGAAAGGCCTCTAAAAATTCGTTGAAGTCGATGTTGCCATCTTTGTTGTAGTCTATGCTGTGGGCTAACTTGTTGATGGATTCGTTGTCAATTTTGATTCCCATGTGAACGCAGAAGAGCCTCCACGTCTGGCGGAATTCCTCAAGAGAAATCAGGCCTAGAGGGGATACACGGCAGATTGCTTTCTCCAATGCCGTCTACCCTTCCTGCGTGCACGCGTGTACGCTCCCTCACTGCAAGAAAGTTACCTGCCTCTCATGGCATGAATATGTTTTGTGGTTTCACAACTGAGGTACGTCCTTACTTCAAGGAAATTTGATTTGGTGCCTTCTTAAATCTAATGTTGAAAGCAGTGAATACCTCAAGTGAGAGGGAAAGGGAGAGGCAGTATTGGAGACAGGTTATGTGAAAATTTTTTCCTTGACTTAGGCTCTGTGCACCGTCCCTTATATTGGTATGGCTTGACTGCTTAAATTAGTTTTCACTAAACTAGAAAAATGACATAATCTCTGGTTCATTTATATTTAGAAGCCTTAAGGAGGAAACACAGTGGGGACAGACAGCTACTATCAGCTTCCTAGAAGTGGTACTGCAAAGGAACTTGGACGTTACCTGAATGATCTTTATCAATGAAGTTAAAGATTATCTCCAGATCCTTTCTGTATCTGCACACCGTTTCCACCAAAGCTGGCTGAACCTGCTTTTGAAATCATACAGGAAACCATTCAGACCTTGGGCTGAGTTACTCTAACAAATGGAATACATATGATGCAAATCTATTCCCCAGAAGTTTAAGTTGTCAAATGTGAGGAAAAATCTTCATGCTTGAGTTCTCAGAAATGATACTTTGTGTCTTGCCCTGAACAAATAATTGGCTGCAACCTGTCACTTTCAGATTGCTGCACCGGGGCGGGGGGAGGGAATAGGAGTCCTTTACACCTCCTACCTTCAGCAATTAGGTGTGGAAATGCAGATAAGCTAGAGAAGATGCTGTATGTCCTACACTTGCACAAAGCTTTCACTGTACATACGTGATTCTATCCTGCTTGTCCTTTAGAAAAAGGATGGAGGCAGCTAAGTACCAACCTTCTATGTAGTCGCTCTGGACTCTTTAGAAGAGACCTGTGCTACTATTAAACATATATTAAACATAAAAAAGCCCATCTACAAATGTGACTCTCTTACAGGTGCCTGAGTCGGCTCTGAACGCTTTTGAAAAGCTCATCTTCAGAGAGTGAGGGTTTAGGATTTGTCGCATCTCCTGAGCTACCTCGTCTAGATTCCCTTTAGAGTTAACAGAAAGTAAGAAGCAATTCTAGCATGTGATTCATTCAGCCTATTTTAAGCATCTACCTTAGCAGGGGATGATGACTTGTGCCCTAGAAGTGCTCATTTCCCTAGGCTGCCTATAAAAGGAAGCGAGGCAACTCGTTCACTTGTAGGTGTCTACCTGATTGGTCAAACCACCCTGTCTTGCGCCTTCAAGCTGCACCAGAAGCTGTTCCTCCAAGATTTGCAAGGAGATGTTTTCCTCCTTACCTCCTTTACAGGTTTTTCCACTTTCAAATCATAAAAACATGTCATGTATTTGATGCGTCCATCGGGGCTCGTCTGTGCTAACTGTGACCGCAGCGTCCTCCAGGGCAGCTGCAGGTGTAGGACAGATTCCATCGCTTCTGCCCAGTCAGTGATAGGAAGTCTGCCTGCCAGAAGGGGGGAGTTCATGGTTACAAATAATATGTGACACAGCACAGATCAACCATCGGCTTTTCTGCAGGTGTTTTTAAGAACAGTTGCAAAACATAAACATTGTCTCCTAATCCCAGAGGGAAAAAAACTCTTTAATAATGAGCAGTGGGGTTGGACTAGATGATTTCCAGAGGACCTTTCCAACAATTTTGCGATTCTATAACTATGTCCAGACATGCTTTAATACATTTTGAAAAAACAAAAGCTATCCATAAAAAGTACTGCAGATTTGCGTTGTGCTGCAACTATAGAGACAGATTTGGCTGAAAAGCCAACAAGACAGAAATATGTTAATCAGTGTTTAGCTGCCAAATAAACAGTACCATGACCTAACTGATTGCCATATTAGGGGCACAGATGATAACCCAGTCAGGTGAGAAACCATCATGAGGAAAAGTCATATTTATGCTAGCAGTCATCAACTCTTTGCTCCTACGTAAAAGGTTCACGTATCAATTTATCACTGATTTTTTTCTTCAGCTGATGGGTAAGCCTATGTCACAGCCAGTCAACTTTACTCAAATTATTTTCCGGACTCAGAAGGAGGCCAGGCCTCTTTGACCTGAGCCCCCAGTTCCCTGAATGACGTTTTTCTGAAGGTGCACCCAACTGAGGGCAGCAGCTGCAGAGCTTTTGGAACCAGATTTGCCTGTCCAAATTCCCTGCCCAGGAGCAAACACGAAGCTGCTTTGTTTGCCCCCTTGTTTCAGTTGATAAGGAGTTTTCTGGGGCTAAGCACCCGTTAACATCTGTCCTCCTGTGTGGATAGGCTCAGCCTCCCTCCAGCCTGACACGGGCAGGCAGAGCCCCTCCTGCATGGGATTTGCATAGGGCCCCTCTGCCCCTATGCATGCGTGCCTGCAAGCTGTTTTCCCCATGGTGACACCAGACAGAGAGGGTGTATTACCTGCACCAGTGGGATCTTTCTTCATAAAGGCTTCTGTGAGTTCAGTCCTGTGTGCATAGATCACCTCTCGTAAGGATTTTAAGGCAGACGATTCAACTGTGCTAACCCTAGGAGGAAAATATGCAAAGCAGATCATTAAGGGATTTCAGTCCTCCAGCTATTTATTCTTTCATTATCAAATTCTGATGTCTTTTAACACACGCTATCTTCAGAGTCATCCTAAAAGACAACACTGGGGAAGAGGAAAAAACCAAACAAACGAAACCCCAGAAGAATAATCTGGATTTATGAGATAGTCAAGTTTATGCAGGTAATTCTAAGCTGCTTTGCTTTGGTAAATCTGACCACAGTGCTAGTCATGGCAAAGCTGTAATGGTAAACTTTTTAGACTCAATTCATAACAGGATTTCTCCAGATTAGTGCTGCAGCCTTAAAGGGGACCCAACAGACCGAAACAGGCTCTTTAAGAGTCCCTAACAATTGGCTGTTCTAACTGCTTATCACTTTTGATTACCTCTGGGAATCTCTCAGGAAACCAAGTTAGAGCTCTTAGAACACATTTTATCTACTATACTGATTTTGACATTGATTGTAAAATAGGAAAAAATAGATGCCTATTCAATTATAATTAAGCTCTGCATTTGTAGCAGGTACTCGCGGGCTGAGTACATACTCCTTCAGTGTACCTGCATACAGTACACATCCTCACCTCTCCTGCAGATTCTGTCTGCAGGTTTTTTTACTGACTTGATACTGTATAAAACGAGGACTCAGATCAGGATTCAGTTTGATGTATGCTCCCCGGTTGCTCCCGTCTTCATAATAGTTAGAGGCAGAAAAAATAGTGACAACCTGATGACAGGGAAAAAAAAGAAATTGGGTTGGCTAAAACAACTCTTTGAGGGGACTGATTTTTTTTAAAACTGATCTTAGAAAAATGTGCAAGTTACAAAATGTATATACAAAGTGTATATGAAAAGCAGAGATCATCAACAGCTGTGTAGTTCTCCAACTTGTTTGCAATTATCAAATCTGAGCTCCAGGCCTGCATTTCTGGTCTGTCACTGGAAGACTTCAGCTTCGACAGCAGCGTGATAACATGCTGTTCAACAGAAACCTCTCTCTAAAATAGACCTGGTTGCTGGGATCCTTGGTGGCCTCCTGATACACCATATCAGAAAGCAAAGCTCAGAAGAGAAACGATTTAAGTGAAATGAAAGACTGCCAAGAGCCATAGAGCACCACTGGTGCTATATTTACAAGTACCATCCTCAAGGATTTTGTTAATGTTCATCTGTTTTCACCCAAGTAATAAGCGTGCCCCTACTCCTTGAAGTTGTAAAGATGTTTTCAGAATTGCATAATTTGTCCTAACATCTATGCAGCCCACAATTCCCCCACAGCCATTTTATAGCGGTCACTCCTTTTTCCGACTAATTTTGTAGGCAAATCTGTGGCTTTGGGTGTGAAATTCGCATGAGAATTCTGCTTTACACGCAAGCACCTTACCTTGCCACCATGACCGACCTCATAACCGTCCTGCTTACATTCATGAGACCTGATAAGCAGCTTCAGGTTGTACCTTTCAAACACCTTGGCAGTGATGTCAGGGCCAAAGTAACAGCCACCTCCTCGGCACTTGTTTGGGGTACAGCCCCTTTGGCTTCTTGGATCGCTCCAGAGAATATCAAGGGTCTGTAAATAGCAAACAAGAGCAGGAGAGGACTGAGAGCAAAATGCAGGCTGCAGCTTAGGGTGTCTAAAATGCTGGCCACAGCAAATGCCTCAAAGCGCAGGGAGAAACCTGAGCTAACAAGTAGGTCGCCTGTTTTATTCCTCTAACATATGCTTCCTCAGGTCCGAAACTTTTGTTTTACTTTTACTTACATTCTTTAGAAACAGCATCTAAAGTTTGTATTAACTTTTTCAGCCAAAATATGATTTCAGAAATGCACCTCCTTTTACAGCTGAAGTGTCCAGGCTGTGATAGATGTATCAGGAAAGGTACATGGGCTACTTCAAAAGCTGCCTATGCTTATTTGTGCAAGAGGCATTTCCTATTTCTCGGCAGGTGATAACTATGTGTGTTAGTGGGTTTACCTTATAACTATAGGAATGCCTGCTCTAAACATGACAAGATTTGGCTTTGGCTTTTTTTTTTTTTTTTTTTTTTTTTAGCTCAGGTTTCAAAACTAGATTTCACACATCAGCAGGGTTCGGACATAAAGTACCGTGGTTTAATGTCAGCTAACCTAATAATTCTGGTCAGCAGCAAACATTAGGCAAAAATGTGTTTTGTTTAAACTTAATGGCAAAAGGTTCAAGGTAACATGTTCTACCTCATATTTGCAAGCAGGGCTCAGTGGAAACTCGGTTACCTGGAGGAGTGCCAGAATTGGGGGTTCGCTTGTGTCCACTGCATTAGTTTCTAGGTCAGATGCATATCTTGGGAAATTACATTTTCAGAAAGATGTTTGCTTCTCAACAAGCACAAAACACAGCTGTCTATCCCTTAAAGCAGCTGTTTGAAGAGAAGCTCAGAAAAATAAACTTGACACAAAATGTTCAGCTTCTAAATTGCTGTGCAAATTAAGCTTTCAGAATTGTCACAATTTATTAAATTACAGCATGGTAAGCGCTTGGTATGGCCTCTAATATTCAAGAGGAAACTAACACGAAGAGGACAAAACCTTCCCACTCTGAACCATCAGTCTATATGTCTCAGGAGCTGGGTTTTGTTGGATACTATCAGCATTCAGCTGCCAAAACCACAGCCAAAAAAAAAGGCGCAGGCTAGCACTGACAGTTGCAAAGTCCCGCCTATTTAAACTGATGGCTGCCTATGCACCAACAGATCCAACCACATGAGGGCACGCAAACACATCTCATGCTGAGGAGTTTCTTCCTCCTAAGAAAAACGCTTTAAATCATGCGTACTTGTAAGGCATAAAAGTCACAAGCCCTTATTACCAGGTCTACAAAAAGCATGCACATAATCAGTGGCTGATTAGCATACTGTCAAGAATGATGGGTTTCTTATTAAGAGATGCAGCAGTTCCTCTCCGACTCAAACACACACTCTAAACAGATCACCTGCCATTTTGTGTGTGTTCATATGTAATTTGTACCAATTGATATTTGATGTACTCGTATGTAATCTGCATCAATTTGTCTTTAGTTTCACGTACTTGTTGCCATTCCTTCTGGGTGGGCTCTGGCTCAAAATCTGGGTCTGAAACCAGTGTCGCAGAGAGGGAGCCTGCGTTCCTGCCATCCTGCGCAAATCTCTGGTGCTCATCAGCGATTGCATAGGAAAAGTTATGTCTTCTAGGGCTGGCCTCTGTTGAAGATATGGCTTTCTTTTTCCCTGAAACATTCTGATTAGCACTGTGTTTATTGGGTGTGGTACTGGGAGCTTTTTCCTTTGTTTGATCCTTGCTGTCTGACTTTGGTGGCTGCAGCAAAGATTTCACCTTAAAAGACAAAACATTGAAAGAGTTATCAGAGCATAAAGGTGATACAAAGAAGTCAGCTGAAAGGCACCTCAGTTCCCCTTCCCTGTACTAAGAATTTAATCATACTCAGCATTTAACTCCCATAATGTCCTGAACTCACAGGTTTGGTGGAAGTTGCAGGTGTTTGGTACTTGCAGCAATTTTGCTTTACATGTATCTATCTTGATCAGCCTCTTCAGAACTGTTCTCATATTCCTAGCAAGATACATATGCTCGTTCCAAGCCACGGTCAATCACAAGGTTTTACTATATAGCAATACGGCGCTTGGGCTCAGGACAGACGCGTTAGTGCCTAGCTTCACTGGAAACTGAAAATATACCTGTATATTATACTGATGATCAAAGTACATTCGCTGCTCTGCTACAGTAGCATTCTGCTAGGTTAATTCAGCTGAAATTAATGGAGTACTAGCAGGATAACAGTGAAGTTCATGAAGTATTACATCTGGGCCTTTATTGTTAAATAAACTCAATCAATCACCTTCAATACATATGGCCCTCTGCTCTTTTGGAGCTGCGTGCTATGGCTCCATGAATGCCCGTTAGTACAGACTCTTCTCCAGGAGTATCTTTTTTTCTCTTTCGATATTTTCTCACACTAGCTCCTTTTTAGGATCAAAAAAAGAGTTCAACTATTGAACAAAGAAAAAAAATTTCTTCCAGGGAATCCTAGGCACTGAAACAAAAAGTCATTCCCCAGCGCACTAACCGCTATTTGAAGAACTGTCCATTGCCAACAGTACCGATTAAAAAACATCAGTTGGCCCCAAGCGATACTGGCCAGCAGAGTCTTGAGTTGTGTCCCATACATGTCACATTAGCAATGCTCTCCTGTGGCAGCAACTTTGACTTGTTAATTCTGCATTTCACAGATGCTGCATTAATAACACATTGAGCCCAGCCTTGGTGAATGGTGGTGGAAATCGGCCCACAGACTAAGATACCTCTATCCATAATACTCAACTTTAGTGTACAGTGGTATAGTCCATGGAGCCTAGACAGTGACTCGGATGACCAGCAGTATCCATTGCCCTTTTCCACGTCTTTAAGATACAGGACTACACCAGACTGTCCAATATAACATGTATTTTTGTATCAGAAGTCATGAAGGAGAAAAAAACTCTAGGTTCCATTAACACTAATGACCAGGTCCTCAATTCAGTTGCTTAAACTTAAATATTTTGTGCCACTTGAGCTGCTCTGCCATATCTAAGACATCAGTATGAGGTGGCCAGACAGGAACTGGACCTACAGGAGACCTATGGCATAAGCCTCTGAAGGAGACTTTCTTCAGTGCCAGCTAGAGGCCAGATGGGACATCCCTAGGCTACCAAGTGCCTCCAGCAACAGCCCTGGAGACCTATGTCCGGGCAACGATAAGGCCTGGATTGCCACGGGATCTCTTGGCTCTCCATTGGTTATAAAGAAAGAGCCTAAGTGCTCCAGTCACAAGCAGGCATGTCGATTTAGCTGTCCAAATCTTCAAATCACACACCATTTTGCACTGGTTTGAAAGAACGCTGCTTGCTCATAATTTTAGGCAGCCTGCATCTATTGTCTACATTCTTTAAAAGCAATAGTTTCTGCTTTCTCAAGTCCAGATCCTGAACTTTAATCCTCCCGGGAAGGCTCTCCCACCCATGCAAAGTTCAGCTGGTGCCAGGGGAGAGCCTGACAGGTGGAGAGCTTTCTCACACAGAGCAGAAGGCAGAAGCACAGCCCCGGGACAAAAGGCAGAGCTAAAAAGATGTTGCTAGACTGATTTTTAAAGCGTTCAGAAATGCCTGAGCATTAAGGAATTTTCATACTTTCCGGTTAATGTGTCATCACTGCAGGAAGGAAATATTTGAAGCATTTTAACTATTTTGAAAGCAAGAGACCTGTGTTATTTTACATCAGTCAAACATTTGGCTCCCAACACCTACTGAATCCTTGCTCTCTAAATGCTGTTTTTGAAGAAAAACAAGACTCTTCTTTCCTTACTTGCATTACACAGGATCCATTTCTTTTCCTACTGCAAACACCTTAGCATTTGTACGGCTAAATTCTTTAAAGAAAGCAGAAGTAACTCCACATAAATATGATCTCTTACCCTGTTTCTCTCAAATAAATTCAGGAAATCCAAATCTGTGGTGTCTGAAATTCCTCCATGTAGGATAAGAACTTTGCTATCAACTATAGTGGCGAGGGGAAGCCAGCTAAAGACATCTCGCAAAAGATGCAAAATTATTTTCCCATGGACCTGTAAAATGCATTTTGTTTAATTAGATCCTGTTTTTGGTAGGTTCTGTTGCTTCTAAGTGCAAGATTTTATCGCTGTGCTTGCAGCAGTCTGTATGAACAGTTCCACTCATTGGTGCAACACCCAGAATTGCAACATTGGCAAACACATTCTGAAATTTCCTTTAAGGACTGCTTGTTTTTATCTAGAGCATTTCCTTTTTCATTCACTTTCATCTTCTCCTGTGTTCTTGAGTGGCCTTACGAATGTTATTTATTTCCTCACAAACACAGCATAAAATGATCTCTGAGCATAAAAGGTTAACACTTACAATTGTGTCGTCAGTTATTCCACTGAATATTCAAAATACTTTTAACTACCTTACTAAAATCATTCTGCACTACACCTCTATAAACTAGTAGGAATTTTCTTTGCTTAGACAGGTTTCATTTTCCATATGCAATGCTGAGAAGAAAATAAATAGGAAGAATCTTACCTTATACTTCCTCAAAACTTCTTTTGTGAAGCCATATCTGAAAACAGGACAGCATCATGAGCTGGTTTGCACTACACCCCTTCTGCATGACTTTCTGCATTACAGTGATTGCTCAGAATTTCCTATCCCTCCTTTCATCCTGCCATTTCTGTCTCACCTCAGTTTAAATGTGCTTTCTTCTGCTCTGTCTTAAGAATTGAGTTAAACTGATTTCTTGTACATACAAAGGATCAGGAACAAAATCCGGACCAGTACTTCAAATTGGAGTGGCCTACTTCTCATCTAAATGAAACAGTTTACCTTCTAGATACCAGTGAGAATTTTCAAAGGAATCTAACTGATGCACAAATGCTCTCCAGGGTTTTCAGCCTAAATCGCCTATGTTTGTTAGACAATATCATCTATAATGCCCATTTCCCCAAAGGGACCCAGGATCCTCCTTCCTCATTCTTTTAACACCAAGATATCTTTGCTGTGAGGGGCATTTTCACAACGCCCTGCTTCTCAGTCTTCAAATTAACCTGCGTGCAACCGTGACATCCAAAACAGGCAGCAAACGGCGGCACCCTGGAATGCCGGCGTTCTTTGTGGTCTCTACCATCACCACCTTAGTTAGTGTTTTCCACTGTTTTTAGGGGGAATTTTCCTTCCTTGTAGACAAAGTAACTCCTGTGGTTTTAGCTTTTTGTAAAGCAGTGCTGAAAAAAAAGTAAGTATCATTTAAAACTAGTTCTCTTACACGGATCATCAACAGGATTTGAACCTGGGCCGCTAACCCAGGTTCATGTCTGTGCTAAAGCAGCACTATATTCTATGCGCATGCACCACGTAACTGATAGCAAGCAGTGCCCTAACCAGCCAGGCACCCGGCTAGTTACTGGAGTAGCTTAGAACTGCAGGGACCAGGACTGCTGGGTTCTTCTCACGTCTGGGAGGTGATTTTTATCTAGGGGTTACACTTTCATTAGCCAGAAATGTTAGCTGTGAGCTCCCTTTGCCAGTGCTGCACGGCCGAGTACAAATGTCTGCATTAGAAAATGCAGAAATGGAGCAGAACACCCCCTGCCAAGTAATGTTCCTGCCCTATTTAGAAGTTAGGATATTTACCCGCCCCCTTATGTCTGGGAAATGAGATCTTAGGCAAAAGTTAAAACAAAGAAATGCCTAGCAAAAATACAAAGTAAAGAAGAGAAAATGAAATGTTAACTCTTTGTTTCCTGGTTCCATTTTATCGCTTACTCTTATGTCTCTTGCTATGCTGTGAAAAAAAAAAATCCAATTCAACTAAATTGAACTAAAACGTAGTCTGGCAATCCATCCCTCTGCCCCAAGTTTATTTCTCAGGGTTCCTCTAAGCCCATTGTCTTCAATGGATTCTGAGTAGGCTAGAGACAAGAAATGAGTTACACGTAAGTGTTTGTGTGTAGGGAGAATGTTCTTTACTCCCTCACACGTCTTAAAAACGCTGAAATACACCAGAATAGCCAGGAGAACACTATTTCTGTTGTAGAGATCAAAGCTGGGACACAGTGGTTAAACCAGCATTCAAAGACTCCAACATTTCCAATGAAAAAACAGTCACTGCCCCCCCGCCCCCCAACCCCTACAATCTACCTCAGGTTCATCATGTAGTCTTCATGGTTTCCTCTATTCAAGTGTAAATCATTGGGGTAGATAAGAAGAAATGCAAACAGGATTATAAGTATTTCAATAGAATGTTCCCCTCTGTCAACAAAATCACCATTAAAGACATAAGGGTTTTTCTCTGAAGGTAGACCATTCTGCAGAAGGAAACAAAAACAAAGAAAACTGGAGACCCTGCTGCACTACTGTAACGAACGAAATAGAGCATTACAAATGAGATCACACTGCTAGAACATATGGCACAAGTATCTGCATACTACTGAGATTTACAATGTAATATTTCTTTATTTCCACTGATTAGTGGAGATGTCTCCACACCAGACGACCTGTACAAGCCATCAGAGGAGAGATGACCTCCCTGATCGGTCTCATGATGTTGTCTCTAATCCTCTATCTATCTATCTATTAAATTAAACTGAAAGGAACATTATTCTTCTAATAAAAATATTACTTTTCTGTTAATGCAACTGTTGGCAGGAAGCTATGCACTTACTTACAAATCGAAGAGAATCATTCATTTTCAATGTGAGAAAACAAGTTCCCGAAAAAAAATCTCCAATGACACAAGTTTGAAGGTCCTTATGTTTCCTTACACAGTAAGAAATGAGATTTCATATACTTACAATGTTTGCGGTCCAGGCTTCCAAAGTTCCTAAGAAAGACTGCAGCCCAGAGGACATTAAATCCTTAAAACAGAACTCTGAAGAACCTTTATTCCAATTACTTTAACCCTGAAAGCACTACTTGAATTTTACTCACGTTGCGCTTTGCCCAGGATGTTAGATATACTCGAAAGCTCATAAACCTTGGCGGCTGTACATACAGACATGTCTTACTTTATTTTTCTGCAGATACAGAGCAATGCCTTATTATGAACGGTGATTTATAGAAAGCCACTGTTGTGAATTTATGGTATGCTTATTAGATTGATTATCAGCGTATCAATGGGTGCTATCAGCTTACAGCAGCAATGATATGTAGCTTCATCATTTCCAGGCATGAACATTAGAAAGCATATTTCAGTTTTGACTTGCCAGAAAAAGGAAACCGCTGTTTTTACCACTGGCATGCATAAGAATTATCAACAGAACATCAAAATCATACTACAACTGTAGAAGCCACTCTTACAAGGTTCGGCAGCATTGCAAGACATCACACCTGCTGAATAATGCTGCTGCCCAAGTGTCCAGCACTTTCCTACATGACTATGGCATTCCCTGGTATACTGCTTTAATAGTTTTACTGTGAGATGTGCAATTTGGTCAGTGACTCAACTAAACACCTAACTTGAATCCACTTTTTCGTCCCAATCAGTACCCTGTACTGCTATTAAGAAGGCCAAAATGCGGTAATCATCCTGATCTCTCAGTTCCCACGGCAGCACAATTTTGAATGCTGTAAACACAGCTTGCTCAGTTTTTGCCATAGCTTCTCCCCCGCTCTCTCCAAGTTATCTTAGAAGAGGCACGTGTTGGCTCTGGGCTCAAAAGAGTGACAATGTACGAGACTGACAATATGTGGTGGGTTGCAGTGGTTTAAAAAAGAAAGGAAGGGTTTCAAGAGAGGAACAAACAAGACAGATAGATAGACTCCGTAGCAGCTCCTGGAAAGATGGATTAATCAAAGCTTTGCTTTACAACTAATAGGTATGTGAATTACCAGCAGCTTGTCAACATATGCACAGCCGCTCTGCAACTGCAGTGCTCATGCAAAGACAGATCTACGGAAGCACTCTCCGGACTCTTATTCTTCTCCTGGAAAAGCTTAGCCACAACTCTCAGTTTTAAATGAGAGGTTTTTTTGGACAAACCTTTTTCACCTTTGATGTGACTTTTTAGTTCTGTTCAGCACTCATGCAAAATTTTTCTTTTCTTTTTGGCAGTTCTGAGCTGCAATAAGAGCAATACTAAACTAAAAGGTGTTGCAGCCTCTGACATGTCAAAGATGTGAACAAGGCCCTCTAATGATCAGCAGAAAAGTGTTGTGGGGTCACTTGCTGCTGAGCATCATTACTGTATCTTCTGGGCTAGTGATTAATTAACTTCCCTTTGTCATTTGTCTTTTCTCCAGTTTCAGGGCATTTCTATCCATAGCATCCATTCAACAAGCTAACTTAACAATACATAATAAAAAATTCAGAGGTCTCAGTGAATTTCAGGAAATGTCACAATTTAACAGAGATTAATGCAGAGACTGAACGAATCTTTACAAATTGCTTACTGAGAAAAAGGTAATTATCTTAGCACCACCCACACTGGTTTTAAGAACTATATATGCAGTTACAAGTAGCATTGTATTGATCATCTATAGCCTGCTAGCTTCTGTGTGTTTGCTGCTACTCATGGTTTGGAGGTTTGTAAATGATTTGTGATTAAAGTTCCCCGGACAGAGCCCCAATCTAGAGGAGACCAGTCCACATGCAGGCCTGTGAAATGCTCCAGCAGCCGGGTCAGGTTCTCCCAGCTCAGCATGGAACTGAATTCACTACACGCTTCCTGGGGCCACCACCTCGGGTTGCATCCCCTAGTTTTAAGGTAGAGGTGGTTCATACCACCCCTGTGGAGGAAATCTCTTCTAACTTAGGGTTGAGCTGATAGGGAACAGGAAAAAAAAATGGATCCCAGAGGCGGACTGGATCTGCTGCTCAGCTGAGTAAACGGCTCCCAGGGGACGGGAAATACTGTGTCAATTCATCTGCTTCTAAACAACTAAGCAGCTCTTATCATGTGCTCTCTATTTGCTCAACCACTTTGAAATAATGACAAAATATTTCCCCATTTTATGTAGTTTGCTAGAAGGAGGCCCCATAAGCTTAACAGTGAATGACTGGGGGTGAACACTAGCCCGTGAAGTTTGCGGGAGTTTTGCAACTGAATTTACTAGGGTTGGGCTTTATCCTCACTCCGAGAATTTTTTTTTCTTTTTGGAACATCCCATTAGAGAGGGAAAAAGAACCATCTTCTGCCTACTCTGAAAGAGTAAATGTGAGGCCTATTACTGATGTAAATATAACTACACCTGAGCATTTATCTTCAAAATAGCTCTTTTGTTCCATCCCAGGTGTGGTAGATGAAACCAGTCATCTGAATCATACTCTTTTATGCTGTTTTAATATCCCATTTCAAAAGGGAAGCTAGTCTAATTAAAGTAACAGCTGAAATACAGCAAGCCAAGTATCACCTAATTCAGTTTGATTCATATGAAAAGCTGTAGACCCTGCAGAGGTCCTCTTATCCTTAAAATAAAAAGGCTTCAGGTGTGCACTTGGACAAAATGAAGCTCCTGATTTTAGAAAACTTGAGACTGTACAAAATACAAAACAGTGACAGGACTTTGGAGACACTGCAAGGAGCCCTCTTAAGTTTTGGTTCATGCTCCAGCTCCAGCTCAACATTTAGAGGGAGACAGATCTCCTAATCTCCTTCACAGTCAGCAGAAGGATGCAGAGAAGGGAAAAGGATGACAGATCCAGACACCATTCAAATTATTATAGGGTTTTCTGGTGTGTGTGTATGCATGTGTGCATGTATGTGTGTGGTGCATGCACATCACATGTACCGTTCTAGCAGTGATGAAAATTATCAGACATAAATAAGTGTTCTTAACACCAAGCCTTGAGATCAAAATGCTATGTCATAGGACACCTATTACCTTATAGAATATCAGCAAAAGATCATCCAGTTTTCCATGCAAATCTCCTACAGGAAACAAAAACATGTTTTGGTTTTTTTTTTGGTCACCCCCAGGTTGTCCTTAATAATTTGCTTTGTAATAAGACTACATCAGCTTCATTTTAAGACACATGCTCAAGTTGCTCAGTGAAATCTGGCAATTAAATACGTAACAGAATTTATACAATTGTCTTGTGTAAAAGTTTTTGTCTTTCCAAATGGATCTGAAGATCAGACCAGTCACACAGTCAAAAATTAGTCCAGGGAAATGGGAGTAAGATGCATAACCATATTATGAACCTGAAAAACAGAATATGTCACTGAAAGGGATTAGTATTTTAGAAATATGACAGAGCTCTAAATACTAAGAGATTTAAATTTACTAAATATTCCACTGTACACAACACATTTGGGCAACTGGCTGATTCAGGGCCAGGGTTTGATTACAACAGGTGGGATTTGGTGGAGCGAGTGTCAAGAACTTTCCTGTGCCTCCATGCCTCGGGCTCAGGTTGCAGGACAGACAGATCTGGTCCTGCCTGAAATGCCTCCCTTGAACAGGCAGGTGGCCTTCACCCAGTGCAAAGGGCCCTGGCTGCGCAGCTCCCTTCGGCAAAGGGGCACAATCTGCAACTCATCACCCCAAAGAACAGCTTTGAAATTTATCTTGTGATAATATGGCTTCACCACTAATGATTAAAAAAAAGAGAGAGAGAGACAGAGACAGACAGAGACAGAGAGAGAGGATGTGACATTTCTATCCTGTCCATATGCTTTTTGTGCAACTTTTGATTCATTTGGAGTCTGCTGAAGTCACTCTAAGGACTCCTTTATGCTATGACACATTTTTCATCACATATGTGGATGCAAACATTTCAGATGCATGTTTAATCCTCACTATTGTTTTGAAATCAAAAAGATATGGGGGGAAGAACACCTTATTTTAAGGAAATTAACATTTTGGACCTGTTACCTTTAAAAACAGGTCTTCCACCTTTTGCAGAAGATTTTTCTGGTTAAAAAGCTATTAGTTTGAATCGCAGGAAGCAGAACCCTTTAAATGCTGCTTAAATAGCGCAAGTGACATACAAACGAGAGGAGGTATGCTTTGATTGGTAAGAGCACGCTGTGTAGTGAGCAAATATGAATCCATGTTCCCTTGGTTTGGAGAGAGGTTTTGTTTGTTTGATTAAGGAATTATTGTTCCTGCAAAATCTCATTTAAACAACCCATTTCCTGGCAATCGAACTAGGTTCATAACCACATATAAATATAATGTTATAAAAACATTAGTGCCCTTCCCTGCACCGCTCTCCTCCTGTAAACAATGCAGACACTGCTAGCTGTCAGGGCTAACGTCACCATTGCTCTTCTGCTTTGCCACTATCACTCCCTGCTGCAAGTCATGATGCTGCATCCCTTTATCCATAATTTACAAAAGCATAATAAAACAGAAGGGCAATGGGCTCTTAATTCTGAGTCCTTTACCTTGTAACACATCACATCATTCTGTGAGACTAATTCATTTGTTGAACAAAGACTGATTCATCCCCATGCATCCCTTTAGAAATGAGAGTTTATTATATATTTCAATTTATTCCAGACAGTCAGGCTGACAATGCAAGGTCTTATTTGCCACCCCTATTAAGCTCTCATTAAAATCACTACTGAGTAAATTACGATGGCTAAGTCTTTCTCTGTAAGAGGAGAAAATGGTGGGACTGACAGCCAGTCATCACAACACTCAGTGCCTTTTTAGGGATGGAAGTGCAGGAATATTAAAGCTACACTGCTGTGTTAGTGGATTTAATAATTCAGACTCATTCAGAAACATTTAACAAGAAGAGAAAAGGAAAAAGGAGGTAAAGGACTTTCTTAAAATATACTAGGGGTGACTCAGTAACCTTATTTTTCTTGGTTTGTGCCAGTTTACACTTCTGCAAAAAAAAAAAAAAAAAAAAGCATCAATAAATTTCTTGTGATGGCTACAATTGGAAACATCCATATCATCCTCCAACTGCTTAAGGTACCAACCTGCTGCCAAAAACAGTTATTTGCTCTGGCACCTTACCACAGACAGTTATCTCCTTGGTGTAGGAAGTTGAAAGCTGAGTGATGTTTGGCATCTCCTTAAGAACCTTCCTGGTTTCATGAAACAGCTGCAGCACATAGCGGGCATGAAGCGTCTGTGAGAAAAAATGTGGCAAGACAAGGGAGACTCATTAGGAGTAGCAATATGTCTGCCTGCTTCATTAATACTGGACGCAAGGAAGCTGTAACAGATTATTTACACTATAGATCTCCTTGAAATATGAGTACAGGCTGTGTGGTTTAGTGCAGGAATTAGGAATGTTTATAGGTTTGTTCTTGCTTCCCAGTGAGCAGCTATGGGGCCCTTAATAAACGTGCTTTTATCTCCCCATCTTATTTCCACTGTGCTGTTTTACTCTCCCCACCTACAGAAAGGGTAAGAAAGTAGGTAGTACCACACTCAGAATCAGTGCATAAAGTCATCTGTTCAAAGTAACTAAAAAGGGATCTACCTCTAGCTGTGAGTTAAAAAAAGAAGAGAGAAAAAAAAAAGCCATACATGAATTTTCAGCAAATTGAAAACAAACGAGAGGGAGAAACTCCGGTAAAGGTTGCCTCATTAATATTGATCTTCTTGCTCATTGTAAAGATGTTATGAGAAGGAAACATTCCAGCTTTACAGATTGCTCCTTTCTGAAGAGATTTATGTCCTTGCTCTTTTGGTCTTCTGCTCTGTTAATGATTTTTATGATGATCTTGTCAATCAGTGATTTTTAAGGCTTCTACTTCAAACACAGTAATCTCTGAGAAAGTTTGGTATAGGAGACGGACAGGCCACAGATTGACTTTGCAAGATGGATGTTTTCAAAACAAACAAAAAAGCCAGTTACACACAATCACTTCCTTAAAAAAATGCTGGCCACAGTAAGGGGTTAGAGAGCTGACGGTGAAGTCTGGGTATTCTCATTTAACATGTGCTTTATACCTATCTATGTGTAAGAGCAGCCCCCACAGAAAATTACAGGAAAAAAAATTATTTAGCAAATTAAAAACCAAGATAGATTGCAAATACACCAAATATAGTAAACACATTGTTATGCCCAAATGCTGAACTCAAGAAGTCCAACAAAGCAGTGCCACGTAATGCCTCCCCTGACCCGCTCCCATCTCATAAGTAGGAGGCAAAGGGGCTTCCTAAAGAATATGCACAGAGAATCAGTACCAGAGCCTCTTCAGTGCCTTGGCAGCAGCAGAAAGAGAGCTCATGAGGTCTGTGGTATCACCCTGTTCAGCTATGTTTGCAATGCTTTGTGTTCA